TTGTTTGTCACGTGTGAAAAGCGTGTTCATCATTAATTTTTTTCAGTAATCTATATGTATGTAGATTAAATAGAAATATATCATTTTATTCGTAATTTCGTAACGTCGTATATTTTACTATATTCATTTTCTTCTCTGTTACCAAATTTTCCAAATATAGTTTGATATCGATATAATTGTAGCCGACTCACCTTGCTATTTATCGTAATCACCCTGCTAATTATCGTAAAATAGCATATCATTCATTTGTACTTTAATTAGATTATGAATCACCACCTTTCATCTTTTGTGCAATTTGGATTTTCATTAATTTATTCAAATTCTTTCAAATTTCTAATTTTTAATTGATATTTAAATAAAAATAGAGATAATTGTCTGCTTTTCTTTAAGCACATAATGTTCAATTGAACATCACAAAAGAATTTCATTAAACTTTTAAATTTTCTAATTTTCAATTCTTCGATTAATTATCACTTTTTTTTTCTACTTTATTTCTTTTTTGTTTGTTTATTTTATTTTTTTTTTTTTTAATTCTTAAAATATAATCACACAAATTGATTTTTAATCAATTCAACAAATTATCCACCATTTCGAACATTTCCAATATTTTGTATAAAATATTCTTTTATATGCTTTATTATGTTTTTCATTTATTTCTGATTAAACTGTTTCACATATTAAATTGTTTCGATGCACATGGATCAAATTAAAAAATATTTGAACAATATATCGAGAAAAATTTATTTACGAGAAGAATTTTAACAAACTATGACACTTTTTGAAAAATTTTCGTAGATAATTCATATCACATATTCATAAAATAAAACTTATTGTATAAAAGAAGAAATTATAGGAATAAATAGGAATAATATTGATTGCAAAGTTATATGACATCTTAACCGAAGTTTAAAACATGAATGATTTAATAAAGGAACGACAAATTTTTTTTTTTTTTTTTTTTTTTTTTTATACGAAAAAAAAACACTATGAATACCAAGCAAAAACTGAAGTAGAAATTCCTGTAATAGAACTAACATTTATAAATCCATGTAAATGCTTGGTCCAGTAATCTGAGGTCAAGTGTTAAATCAAAACTGATAACCATACAAACACATTGCCGTTATGATCTTATTTTTGAATATTGATGACAATTATGACGATTCAATTTTAGAAAAACAGTAAAAGTTTTTTAGAATTTATTTTTAATTTTTAAACGAAATCAAAAGGATTTTTATTTTAATGAAAGAATTCTTATCAAGAATTTCCATTCAGATAAAACACGACCTAAAGATGTTGAGTTGGCATTTTGAATTTATTTTTAATTTGAACATCTTACAATTTAATTTGAGCGCTTTAAAATGTCTTCTATAAATTTTAAGTTATAAATTCATTTTTATATAAATTGACTTTTATTATACATAAATGAGAGAATAACAGAAATTTAGATGAAATATTAAATATAATAAAAATAATAAAAATATATTATTCAACATAAAATTGAAAGTTAAATAAAAAATTCCATATACATATATATATATATATATATATATATAATTAACAATAATCGAGTAATTTATTATTCATCCCAATCATCAGTATCTGGTTGAGAATCATATTCGCTAGTAGCCGAATTTCTATCCGATGCAGCTGCTTCGCTTGGTTTAGGAGGAGGAGGAATCATACTGGACATTCTTTCCAAAGCACTACCTCCAGATCCAGCAATTCCTTTTCTCCTGAGAGCTAATTTTGCGTGCAAATCTGCCATTAAATCACCTCCAACAGATGCAGAGGACCAACGATTTCCTTTTTCTTCTGGTGGTACTGTACGTCTTAGTTTCGCTCTTCCTATGCCACCAGCATTACGAATTGCTTCCATTAAATTCGATCTATCGTCCAATTTCATTGTTTTTCTCGGATCTTCGACACTTTTTTTAATTGAATCTTTAACTTGAGGTTCAATAACGGTAGATTCGGATGAAACTGAAGACGGCGGTGGTGGTGGTGGTGGTGGTGGTGGCGGTGGGGGTGGCGGTGGTGGTGTTATTAAAGGAACTGATGAGGGATTTAATGATGAATGATTATCGTTCTTAGAAATCGAAGAATCCGAATTTGTTGTATTTAATAAGATTGATGGTGGAGGAGGAGGTGGCGGAGCAAGCTCGGTAAGATTTTTTGAATAATCGCTATCAACAAAATTAGGTACATTTGGAATAATTTCATCTAATTTTGTATTGGAATCCTTCTCGTCCATTGTTGACGTTGGTGTTGGAAGATCTAAACGAACTGTGGGCGTCGTTACTGCTGAAGAAGGAGCAATGGGACTTTGAGAATTAAGATCTAAAATGAATTTTTCATCATCTACAATTCCAGGTAAATCAGGAAGTGATGGTGGCACATTTATCTGCGGTACCTGTAGAAAATATTTTATGTAACAATTTTTTATTGTTCATATATATTTAATGTATATTCCTCGGATAAAAATAAATTTTTTCGTTTTAAGTAACATACAATCAATAAGCAATATGTTAAAAATAATACAAAATTAGATTTTATGAATTAGTGTATTAAAAAATCTTACCTCTCCTAAAGTTGGTGTGTATAGATAACTACTAGATAAATCCATTTCAGTTGATAACCATGGTTGTATAATAGAATCTGGTGCATCTTCTATTTGTTGTTTATCACTTAATTTATGAGAAGTTTGTTTCATAGATATTTTATATGGATTATCCATACTATTGAATAAAAATGCACTAATTGAAGATAAATGAAAAGGAAATGTCATTTCATTGTTATCTGTATAAACTTCTTTATTGGATTTAGATCGAACATGATAAAATTGTAATTTTTCTTGTAAATTGTTATTTGTCATATATTGACCATCTTCTGTTTTACAATTAGAAGATAAATATGTTCCAGAAATATCTTTTATAGGTACAGAACATTTATAAATTTTTGGTATTTTGTTGATATTATCATACTGAGGTGGTACAGCTAACTCATATTCCTTGTATGTATGACTAGCAGGATACCTTGCAGCAGAATACATTTTTACAGCTTTTAAATTTAAATTAGTTTGTAAATATTTTAAACGATCTTGAAGTTTTGTAGCCCTGTCTTTAACATTAGATAATCTATAACAGAAAATTTATATTAATTTTTTATTTAAATATATTATTATATTATATTTTTTTTTAAATCTTAAAATTACAAATATGTATAAAACTTAAATTTTTACTTAGAAATAAAAAAATATTTAATAATATAGATAAAAAATTACCTTTGACTATTTTGAAAAAGTCTTTTATCAATACATTCAAATATATAATTAACAGCAGAATCTAGATTATCAAGAGCTTCAGCAATTTGAACAATAGTTTCTTCGTGTCTTAAGTTATCAGGAATAATACCTATAATATTATATTTATATAAAATATTTATATTTAAATAATATATTTAATTTAATATATTTAATTTCTTCTATTAAATATTATCTCTATTTTTTTAATTCAGTTTATTTTATACTAATATTATTTAATAAATAATAAAATGAATAATTATATAAAATACTAAAAACATTAATAAAATAATATATTAATTATAATAATATAAATAAAAAAATTAATTTGTTATAATGATACTAATGAAAAATATTTATATTTTTTTTGTATCATGATAAAAATCAAATAATTCATAATATATATCAATTCATTTACCAATTTCAATTCGCTTCGGCATAATTGACAATATAATTAAAAATATATATTTTTTTATTTAACAAACTATATTATATCAATAAAAATTACACGCACATACAATTAAATTAAATTTATAATATATTAACACTGCAAATTAATTTCATTCATATAATAAATGAGGTTAAAATCGTACAATCAAAACAAACTTAATGGTTCCTTCGAAGAGTTTCGTATACTTAGATGCGCCATCAATTGTTATTTAAAAATATATAATTACTGAATATAATTCAATGATTTATTATTTACATTATATAATTTTTAAATATAATGGAATATATCATAATAAATTTCTAATACATTTATGAATAATAAATAAATTTTCATTATCAAAATTATTATAATTAAAACTTGTAAACTTGCTTTAAATTTATAAATAAAACTAAAGTCCAATACTTAATATATTGTGCTAGCAATAGAATATGAAAGAGTCTGATCATGATGTAAATATAACCTATAATTTTTCATAATTTTGTAAAATATTTATTTTTGTAATACATATATTATATATTATAATTATGATAAATAACAATTATGATTATGATATAATGCAATATAATGTATATAACATATGCACAAATTATTTATATTAATTAGTTGATTTTTTATTTTGATACATAGAATGGACTTTCAATCCAAATGTCATATTTTATTAAAAATTAATTCTTGCAATTATTAAAATTAAAATAAAAATTATAATATTAAGTATTTTGTAATCGTTTATTAATGATCAATTTCATTATTTTATTATTTGCATCAAATTCAATTAGCATATATGTTTATATGTATTAATTAAATTTTTATTTTTACATTACATTACATTATATTATTTATATTATAGCTATTAACCAAAAATCAGAAATATTAGTCTACAATCTATATTAATCACATTATGATTTTTGACAGTGCCTCTATACTTTTATGAATTCATGTAATTGAAAATTTTTTCAATATCAATTTAATATATAGAATTTTAATATGTTTTATCGAATTTAATAGAACATTACAAGTATGAAATACTATAATATAAGTGTTGTAAATTAATATTAATATTTATTATTTTATATACATATTATATGTATATTATATGTATGTATAATGTGTATATATTAATAAATGCTCTTGTATATAAAGAAAAATAATAATAAATATAGTATAAATATATATAAAATTAAACAACGTTTCTATTGATTAGCCAATATGATGATTTTAAATTATTATAATATTGATTATATTGACAATTCGTAATATATTTTAATATATATTCAATTACATTTTTTTCATCTTACAGGTTATACTAATGTTGTATAATAAAAATAATATAAAATATATAAAAATTTATAAAATAATATTGATATGTGAAAGAACATAAAAATTATATCCCAGGATATAATTATGTTTATTCATTTATTGATGATAAATATAAATAAAAAGATTGTACAGTATATGATATTAAATACAAAAGTAAATTTAACCACAAAAGTCAAAACACATTATGATACTTTGGGAATATCTCCAACTGCTACATATAAGGAAATAAAATCAGCATATTATAAATTAACATTAAAGTATCATCCTGACAAGAATAAAAGTGAATCTGCAAAAAAGATGTTTCATGAAATTTCAAATGCATATGATGTTCTTAGCAAATATAATACACGTAAGGAATATGATAGAACTCTTTTAATCAAATATGATCATAAACACAAGAAAATGAAAACATATAGTGAAACAAAAAATAGTTATCATTATACAGGTAATACTACAGGTAGAATTTATGATTTTGATGAATGGATGAAACAACATTATTCAGATTTATTTCAAAGAAGTTTAAATGAAAAAAATATAGAAAAAAGATATGAAGAAAATGTTAAAGAAACTGTAGATAGATCGCTAAACTTACCTTCTTCAATAATCCTGATAATAATAGCAACGATATTATTATATCTGAAAATATCAATAGAAGAATATAATTATAAAAAAAATAGGAAAAAAAATGGACAAACACCAATTGAATAGAACTATTTATTATTAAAAAATTTTATATAGGAGAATATTATAATTAAAAATATAAAACATAATATATGTGTATAAAATGTAATATTAAGTTTATTTCATTAATCCTGACATAAATCAAAAATATATGTAAAATTTTAATTTGTTGTCTATGTAATTTTTTACTATTAATTGCTAATTAATTATATTAAATTAAAAATTGATTTAATGAAACATATACTTATCTATTATATATTTAATATGGTTAAAAACTATAAATCTAAATTAATTCAATAACAAAATTATTGCAATTAGTTATTAATGTTTAATAAAAAAAATAGATTTATTTGAATTAATCACTATTAATATTAAATCAATTTAACCAAAAAACTAACACTTAATGTCATCAATCAATATTATTGATAGAAAAAAAAAGAAAATGAATCGTTCATAAAATTTTAAATATGTATAATTTTATTTATTGTATATTAAAATACTAGATAGATTTCTTATTTTAAAAATTTATATAGTTTACATATATAGTAATTTTAATATATTTTGCAAGAAATCTATATATAAATATATCATAATAATATTACAAAATCTATTTTACTTATAAATTACTTTAATTTTATTAACTGTAATATTAACTATAAATTAAAATGATTGATTTGACGATTATTTTATTATATGCAATATTCATACTTTTTATTATTAAAATTAATTAAAATATTTCTTACATATAATGCAAAATTTAATATTTAAAGATTAAATTGTTTTAAATATATAACAGCATTCTATATCAGATATAATTTAATATGGCCTATAATGTGATAAACCTGATGGTACAGGCATTGGCATTGAAACAGGTCCAGTTGGATAAGGAATTGCAGGAATTAAGTTATGAAAATTACTAGCAATTGGATATCCAGGACCACTAGTCATAGTATGCGATTTTCTTATTAATTCTCTTAATTTATCTACTTTAACTTTACGTAGATGCATTAATTTACGCCGTGATAAAAATTGCTCTAAAAATTCATCGACCTCTATATCTCCAGCCAAAAATTTTTCAGCTATGGTCTATATTGAAAAATAAAAATATTATTACACAAAAAAATAATAAATATTAATACAATATTAATTTAATAATTTTAATACATTGCCAATCAAGTAAATTTTATCAATCAATCAATTAAATAAACTTATTAAATAAAAAAAGATAATAAGAATTAATAATATGAAATTTAAAATTAAAGTTATCATATTAATTTATTATTTGCAAAATTAGCAATGTATGTTAATAATTATAATAATTATTAATAAACTCATACTTCTGATTCTTCTTCAATTTCAGCTGCTGCTGTTTGCAATAAATCTAATGCAGTATCAGCAGTCATTTCCCCAGATTTATTTTCTACAAATATTAAATGAATTGAATTTTATTTATAATTATTATTATATATTATTTAAAATATATAATCTATATTATGATAATATATGATATTAATGATAACAAATAATTTAATTATTGAATTCATTATTAATTTTATTTCATATTTTAAAATTATTAAATATAATGTGAGAAAACATACTTATTTCTTCTAATTTTTCTTTTACACTTATGCATAATCTATTTCCTTTTTCACTAAGTTCTTTTAATATTTGTTTACCCTCTTGTAATTCAGGTTGTTTTGATAAATTAAACTCTGCCAAAGATGTGTTACTTGCCATTAATAATTCCTTTTCAGTTTCTAAATTTTTAAACTAAGAAGAAAAGGAAATTTGAATTATATAAAATTTTATAATGAACAAATTATAAATTATAAAAATAAAAATAAAATAATTTTAAAAAAATAAAAATTACCTGTTTTACATCTTTCACAATATCTTCGAATTTTGAATCATCATTTAATAATTCTTTTAGTTCGTCGTTTGTTAGATGTGACAATAGACCTAATGCTGCAGGTATATCAGGTTCTTGATTTGATTTATACATTGTTCAAAATTATTAGTTCCGTTATTATAATTATATTCATGAATTAAATTTTATTTTTAAATAGAATGATTATGAAATTATTTATTTACGTTACAAAAAATCAACATCTTGATATATATAATAGTTAGTATAAAAACATATTCATTAAGATTTGCACATAAAAAAAATTTTAATATCGATAATATACAATCATCTATATTTATAATATATCAAGTTATCAAGATTTAATACGATTTTAATAACATAAATTTTATGAAAATATGCGTTTCATTTATTGACACAATCTACATGTAAGTATATTTATATCACTTGGAATTATCATAGGATAATAGGAATATAGATATACGACTCAATATAAAAATATATTTAAATTATACAAGTATATTTGTATAAAATATTTAAATTAATTATCATTATTTGAATTATTATTAATTAATTATTATTAATTTTTATTACTATATTTTTTCCTATAAAATGTCTAATAAATTTTTAATTCAATAGAGATATTGAAATAATAATTATTATTATAAAAATATAAACTCTGTTAAATTTCGAATTAATATAGAAATTTAAAAGAAATATATTTTATTTATTTTTTGTTTAATTTATTTTTTATAAATATAATTCTTTATAATTTTATAAAATCATTTTTTTTTTCTATAAAGTTTTATTTTTCATTGATTTTCTTATCTTTTTAATTTCATTTTCTTTATTTTAAATGATTTTATGAAATCTTTTATAATTTTCCATTTTTTTGTATTTAATTGTCTCCTTAAATTAGAAATAATTATTGACAGTTGATGTAGTTTAAAAATTTATTTATTTTAAAAGAAAATATTTAAAATGTTTATTATTATTATTATAAGCTAGTAAGTTTTATATCTTCAGTTGGCGATAATCATTTTGTGTTCATCATGTTCATGATTCTTGATTAAAAATATGGTATGTTTAAAATGATAATTATAAGGTACAAGTTAATGTTATTATGTGAACAATATAAAAATAATTAAAAAAAATTATATATTAAATTATTGTTACGTGATATCAGCAAAATTAATACTTCTTTAAAATAAAAATCAATAAGAAATTCTGTCAATTATATAAATATTATTTATAAAATCGAAATATGAATAGATTACAATTATATTTTCAAACACTTAAAAATATAAAATATATAAATTATGAAGGTAAATTTAATTATATATAAAAATTATGAAGGAAAATTTTATTTATATATTAAAATATAATATTGTATTTTAAATGTAGGTTGTAGACATATTAAACGATGGGTAGCTCCAACGCAAAGGGAAATTACAAAAAGAAAGAAGAAATTACCACCTCAAATTGAACCACATCGTAACAGTTTTATTGAATGGAATAGAAATGCAGAAATATATGCATTTAATGAAAGACTTTCAGAAAAATTTAATATTGAGAAATTGAATCAAGCATTTATACACAAATCATATATTCTTAAAGAAATAAAAAAACAGAAAGAAATGGGAATAAAAGAACCTATATTTGATATACAAAATAATGAGGAATTTATTGAAAAAGGAAAGGAAATAACATCAGCAGTTATAAAAAAGTATCTAAACCAAAATTTATCACGTCTTCCTGAAAGTGGTATTATGTATGTATGAATAATGATATATATATGTATAAATTATATGAATATATATATATATATATTTATATATATATAATAATATATATATTTGATTGATGATGAAATAATTTAATTAATCAGATTTTATATTACATATTTATAAATATATTGTTTCAGAGCATTTCATGACTATCTTATGTCTCAAGAACTATTAGCCACAGCATCTTTGCATATTGGAACAAAAGATATTATTTTGACTGGTGTTTGTATATACTTATTATATAATATATAATTTATTGCACTTATTGCATTTTGAATTTTTTATATTATTATTTTATAATTTTTTTATTTTATTTTATTAAGTAAAACACATTAATTTTTTTGTTATTATATATAATAATAAATTAGTAATTCCATATATATTTAGGAATATCCTGTATCCCAAGAAACATTGGCACAAACATTTCTAGCACTTGTGGGAGCGCTTGCAGAGAGTGTTGATATCAATCACACAGGTATTTTTGTTCGAGATTTTTTAATAGCAGGATTAGCCAGCAAAGATTTAACTGAAATATGGTGTCCAACTAAACCATTTGAAATATTAACTGATATGATTTCTATGGAAAGGAAGTAATTATAGAAGCAAGACTTATTGGACAAGCTGGCAAGAATACAATTTTATCAGTTTATCATATTGGAATTTATGCAAATAAAGAATATTTGGGATCAGGTAATAATATCAAATTTGATGTAATATATATAATAAATAATTAATAAATCATATTTGTAGGTTTTGGACAAACTATTGCAGAGGCAAAAGATGTAGCTGCCATTAATATATTATCTCAGATGTGTGGATTATTACATTCAAGTCAACCATTACGATTTAATGAAAAAATAAATATATCTGCTTAAAAACAATTGTTATATGATAAAAATTGTATACAAAATATTTAAAATGTTTAAAAATATAAATTATAGCTATGTATATATGTATATATGTAAAATATTGTTCTATAATTGTTTTCTTATTAAAATTGTCCAATAAAATAGATTATAATAAATAATTAAATGATACAAAAAGAATGTTAAAAAAAAAATTAAAAATTAGTAAAAAAAATATAAGATAAAAAACGATAAAATATTTGTGTATAAATAATAATCATAATGTACTTTATTTCATATTTTATATTTTTTAAATATTTTTGTCTATTACATGCATTGTGTAAATTTAATTCCTTTTATAATTTTTTTAAAATTTTCCATAAATATTGGCACTTATCCATAAGTTATTGTAAATTAAAAGATTTTTATGTAGAAATAGATAAAATATATATTACATTATTGTATATCATTATAAACTTATGAAAAGTTTACAACTTTTTAATCTCAATAAATAATTTTGAAATAATTTAAAAATATTTTGAAAAATATATATATAAAGCATATATAAAAATTAAAATATATAAACATATCATTTTATATATAAATTTATGAAAAATAAGTCAGAATGTATATAATGTATATGATTAAAAATATAAATATTTTAATTAGTTGAAAGGTTATATTATTTTACTTTTACGAGATCGCCATCTCATGAATGCAATGAACCACATACATAGTTAAATCGTGATGAAAAACTACATAACGGTATTTAGCGTTCGTATTGACAAAATTTTGCGTATAATAAAAGAGCTAAAAATATTTGGTGTTTTTTATATAATTTTTGTTTTACAATTGTGTTTGATATTGTTAAAAAAAGTTTATAATATGTATAGCTTCTCACATTATAAAAATATTATGATTAATATAATTTGTACTTAGAAACCACATATACACATTACAACTATACACATTAATAATAGAATCTTTAAATTGATATAAGTTATTTATAATTTATTATAATATTTGTTCATATAATGTTTTTTCAAACAATTTTTCAGTCCTTAATGTAATTTAATATAATTATTGCATATATGAAAAAATAATTTCATATATTTTTTTTTTTTTGCTTATAAAAATAAATTATTTTCATAATAGTGCATGTGATTTTTATTTTTTGTTCTAAATATAATATAATTAAATATATATTTATATAATTTCGTTATTTAATTTATAGTATATATATTTTATATTAACATAATATAACATATAGAATCGTAGATTGAATAAATTTTTAATGAATATTTTGATCTTTCTCTTATTTTCTTTCTTCCATAAGTATTTTAATTTTAATTCAATAATTATAATGAATATTTTGATTATTGAATTAGATAAAAATGCTAATTTTATATTTACAAATCATAAAATTTCATAACTATACATTATTATCAATTAAAACAATATATATAAAAAATTTAAACGTTTAGATGCAAACTTTATATATATTATTATTATTAAAAGAAAATTAAAAATAAGTAATATTTCTTTAATTAATAATGTTTTTAAATTAAAGATGTTCAATTATTTAAAAAAAGATGAAAATCTGAAATTATAATTTTTATATATATTCAGAAATTAAATGTCGTCCAAAATTTTTCTATATCGGTCGTAGGTATAATATTGATTACTTATGATTCATGCTATCCCCTTTAAGGTGGTTCATCCTTGTCCCCATCCACACTCCACCGCTCTGAGTTTCCGCCACTTCTACCTTCCCTCTCTTTCTCTTTCTCCCTTCATTTCTATTTCTCTTTTTATACATTCGTCTCTCTTCTTATTCTATCCATTTCTTTTGCACTTCAATCATTTCTTTCTTCGTTCCACTTATCTCTGTTCTTTCTTTCTTTCTTTCTCGCTTATTCACTTACATACATATATATGTACGCGTGCGCGCACACAAATATACGCAATCGCACGTATTATCCCACTACTTGCTATATTCCTGCGAGTAACGACTCAATGGCGCTGCCACACCCTTTTGCCATCGAGTAATCAGTGTTATTGTTTTACAGTTCCACTTCTGTTATTATTTCTCAGTACAAGAAGTGTAATGTATCGATTGGCGATATTTTAAATATCGCAGTATTTATATGAACGAAATAAAAAGGAAAAATGATGATTCAGCATTAAAATCACTTTTATCGATAAAGAAGAAATGGTATATAATTTATGTCAGTCTACGCCCCTGGATTCTTGGTGTTTGAGTCTGGTTCAGATACGATATTTTATTTATCTTGAAACAAATTAAAAATTTGCAGAGCATAATGAGAATTCACGATTGTAAGATAAAGAATTAATTGTTTTTTCTTGTTATTCAAATACGCGGATATTAGATTTACTTACATATTGCATTAAAAGAATATTTGATATTAGAACATTTTAAATTTAAAAATATAGAAAAATTAAATTATTTTTTGAATTAAAAAAATTCAAAATAAAATTATTAATATATCTTCATAAATCTTTAAGATATCTAATAATTCCTCTATCAAAATTTATAAATCATATATATATTTTTCAATGAAAATATAATATACTCTTATACATATAATTATTATATATTAAATACGATATTATTATAATAAAATTTGGTATCGACAAATGATAACAAGATCTCTTTTTAGTTTGTAAAATGTATAATAAATGATATATATAAATAATACATTTTAATATTTAATATAATATATATAAAATAATATAAAAAACTATTATATTTATATAAATATATATGTGGATATATTTATTTAAAATATGTCGAACGTTTTTTCTGAAATCTCAAGAGATCGGTGGAAAACTTCGTAGCCTGTTTAAGACTCAGTAGATCTCTCATTCTCTCGTGTATTTGCCCCCTCCTTCTTCTTTCTATCTCCTTCAACTCGGTAAAACGGGATTCTTTCCTTCTCTGGCTGCCGTTCTCCGTACACTTGTGTGTTGGTGGATTGCTTGGCGTCCATGAAGCCTTTTGCGACGTTGCCATGCGTAATGCATCGTTGCCGGGCTCTTGCACTGTTTCGTTCCTTTTTGCTCGTTCACATGCTCATTTCATCTCTCTCGTACTTTCGTATGTGCGCGGCCAGGATCAACCATATACCCTCCTCCGCCAACGGCCGATATCCCTACCCGTACTATTCACAGTCCCTCTGCCCCTTCGCGTCATTTCTCTACTCTTCCCTACCCAACCCTTCTCTTCCCTTCTACCCAGCCGCAAAGGCAGCGAGTTTGCTTGTGCTCGGTACAGTGCCGTATATATTACTTTAACTTACTTGTATATACATTTCTCAAAAACAAATTTCATTACCATCAAAAAATAAACTGAATTTTATAAAAATATAAAATTACAGATAGATTTTATAAATATATGAAAATAGAAATATGAAATATAAATACATATTTGTATCATTTCCAAAATTAAGAAAAAATGAATTGAACAAATATAAAATATTATATTGTAATATATTGAATTTCTATAAAAGATATGTAAAAATATAAAATAAATAATATTTAATATATTAATAATAATATATTAATAATAAAAATGAATGTTTTATTATAATTATAATACTTTTTTGTTTGATACATAATAAAAAGTAATTTTTTGATTGATTGTTTTATTTTTCGTTTTGAATCATTATATTGAAACATTACATTGAATCATATGAACTGAATTATTGTAATCAAATTTAATCTTAAATATATAGGAATTAGAGAGATTAGTATATCGATATAAATAATTTTTAATAATTGATGATAATTATATAATTTTATTTAATATTCAATATTTTTTACTATTTGAACAGTATATTCGTAGATTATAATATAATTTTGATCATTTTGTATTCTTATAGTCAATCAATTTCCTAAATAAATGACAAAATATTAATCATTTAGTAGTCTATAAAAAATAATAAATTTCAAATCAAAATGCAAATTAAAAAATGTTAAAAATAAATGATAAAAAAAATTAAAAAAGTTTAATTTAAATGAATCACATTTAATGTAGATGATCAAATTTAAAACATATTGAAACATATAGCATGTATAAATAAATGTTCAAAGTACATTATACAAATTCATATTTGGAAAATAGTATATAATGTAAACTTTAGAAACATATGTAACGTATTGGAATATCTTGCAACATTATAATTAATGTATATACCACATTTTATTCTTAAACTATCACCTTTAAGTCGCGAAGATCTTTAGGGTTGTATATGTATATCTCTCTTCATCCCGTTACATGCAAATTAAGCGTTTTATATTTTTCATTAATTTGCAATGTTAAAAATTCTAAGTATATCATATAAATAATTTAGAATTCGATACATAGTATAATAATAAATATGAAAATAATAATAAAAAATGAAAAAATGCTTGTTAGATGATAAACGGTGGCGCCATAGGAACCAAGAATAAACGGTCCTGAGCTGTGTAGACCTCCGTCCCCCGCGACGCTACGTCGTCGGTCGGTTCGGTTGCTCGCTCGTTCTCGTTCGTTTTCACCCCACTCCAACTCATACGTCCCCGGTCCCTTATGACCCCACCTGCCCCGTACCCAGAAACTTTACCCTCACCCCGCTACATTCAGTCCCTCCCCCCCGATCCTCTCTCTGATTCCGCCTTGCCTGCTGCCAGCCAGCCGTCCGTCCTTACGTCCGTCCGTCCACCGTTTGGATCTATGGTTGTGTCGGTGGATTTCGTGACGTTAACCTGGCGGCCCTGAAAACGTTGGACTGACCGTACGATTTTGACTACCCTTCTCGTTAGGGCGCGAATGTAAGACGCGAGTGTTTTTTAATCATCGCAGCCACCGCACTGGAATATATCATAGACTAGTTCGGGTAAGAGAAGAGAAATGTGTGGTGAAACTAACCGATACGTTCCCGGTCGTGTTAAACTCCTCTAAAGGAGTGTAAGAAACTTTTAAACGACCAGTGTTTGATAAAAAAAAATGTTGGTGCAGAAGAAAAAATTACCTAAACATATTCCTTCAGGTTCTGTTTCTTTCTTTCTTTCTCTCATGCATATACATGCACATTTATATACGCATACATATATGTGCATGCGCGCGCACACATACATATACATTCTATACTATACATACTATCCTTTTCTTTTATCTTCCTTTCTTTGAAGAATATGCGTAAATGTATATAATTTATCCTTTCCGTTCATGTATATATTCGAATCAACATATATTATTAATTTATATCATAAAATATATTTTATCCTTTCCTTTATTTCTCTATCTGTCCTTTTTTCGTCCTCTCTATATTTATTTTGTTTTTCTTCGGATAGAATAAACAGGGTAATAGAAAAAGAGAGAAAATAAGTACATCTGCACTTATATGCAAACCTAATAGCTATACGATGGAATTACGAAGTGAAACCATGCATTCTCGTAGCACTGTAACTGAAAATGATTCGATACATATGTGCTGTCTGTGTTCCTCGATTGTAATGTTCATCTGCAACATTTAAAGTACGTTCTAATCGGTTGGTCGATCCATCGATTCGTTTCGTTCATAACGTGGCAATTTATTTACTTCATATTCTTCAGCCTTCTGGGCACATACATTTTTCCTGTGCAGTTCTATCGTTCTCTTGCAGTTCTATCGTTTATTTGAACTGTATTTTTAAGATTATGAAGAATAATGTGTTTATATAGTGTTTCATGGTGTTTCAAAGTTACCGACTGAGTGTTACTTCTACTATTTTTCTGTGCAACATTGCAACGTTTGACTACCTGCGTATTTAGACTCTGTGTGTTCTGTTTCTTTTACCTCCGATAAATTTAAAAGTGTTATTTCGATGAATTTGTGTTTTGGTGATATATTTCAACAGTGTATCCTTTTTTATTGATAGCAAAAGTTTTTTTCATTCGTGAGAATCGCATTTTATAATGGTGTCCGGAGCAGTGTCAGAGTGCTGGAGAGTATTCAAGATCCTGAAATAGCAAATCTAATAATAGGCGATATCTTATTCCGACCACTTTTCGTGTGAACTTGAAGAGATAACAACGCAGCGTGTGATTAATTAACGAACACAATCGTACGTATGTTATATAATTGTTACATGTCAAAAAACAAAAAAATGTTACCGTATTGTGAGTGGATGAATTTAATACGATCATCCTTTCTTTCTTGCAATTCTTATGAGCCATGCTGTGAAACGTTTACTGCCCGAGGAACAAGCGAACTCGATCGCAACTGTTGAACCGATGGTGACGTGTCTCATTCTTTTACATTATATCAACTTTGTTTTCTTCATATCTTGTCACAAATGACAATGTTACGTTTTAATTAGCTAACGAAATTGGTGATTCACAACATGCTAGTTAAGTGATAAGAATGCGATAATTGTTATCCTTTTGATAATTGTGTAAATATTTCATTAAAAACGTGCTTTCTTTTATTCAGACTATGATCATAATTCTTCAATTAATTTATATATATTGTTATAGTAACATATAAAAAAATCTTGAAATTATTCTTCGATTTACACTCTTGTTATTTTTTTTATTCAATATTACTGATATTTAGACTTTATTTTTGAATCGATTCAAGTTGAAGATTTCCATTTCATAATATATAGATTTATTCTAATCATACTTATATGATTCTATTGAAATCGTCAATTTTTTATAGAGTTGGCTTCGAAAAATTTCGACACTCATTTTTGCTTTAAAAATTACGTTTGAGAACGTCGACTATCTAATTTTGAGTACACGCCTACTGTTATGTAAGTGAACTATACAAGAATCGAGTACCTTATCAGTTATCTGCAAAGTACTTTGATCGGGTAAAACAGTTCGATACTGCGATATTGATATTTCAATAAATACTCGCATTGAGTTTGCTATACGTCGTGTAATAAACGCATTTTTACTTAAGCCCCTCAGAAGTTTTTTGTTTCTTTATTTTTTTAAATTCATTTTATTCTTCTAATTTTTTTTTAATATTTTATTTTTTAGATATAAATTTTTAAATTTTATATCTTTAAAATATAATAATAAAATATTTTATAGAAAGAAGTACTAAAATTATATTCTGCTATTTTTAATTATACAAAAAAGTTATATGAAGTTAAGTTACATTTTGTGAATACCGAAATCTTAATTGAATTAATTGAATAAAATTTTTAAATAAAATTGTCTTTGTTATAATCTTATTTTATTTAATGAAGTATGAAGTATATGAAAAATATTTAATATATATGAAAATTAAAACTTATAAATATCTAATTTTTTATTTCTATGAATTGTAATCATCTCAATCTCAGATTTATGATTTTTTATTTATTTATATTCATTTTTAGTCATATATAAAAATCTTTTTTATATAAAATATAAGCATTTATTTTGGTTATTATTATTACAATTTTATATTTGTATAAAAGTTTATTAGTTAATTTTTATTTTTTATAATTTCAATTGCGTAAAAAAAATAATTAATTTCAATTTCTTATAGTTTGCTACTCATATAAAATGCAATTTTTTAATTTCCCTCAATTTAATTAATTGCTCATGATTTTCTACGTTTAATATACGATTCTTCTATTTGCTGTTGCATAGCATATGTATAAATATGTGATTCTTTGATTTCATTTGCAATTTTTTTCGTGATTTTTTACGATTTAGATAACGAATGCAATTTTGCTATTTTAATTTTGATTTCTTGCAATATAATTTTCAAAAAACAAATCTCTTTAATTTCATTTTATGGATTTTATTATTATATATTGTTATATATATTGTTATTAATATATTTTTTTTATCATTTTTTTTATTATAATTTTTTATGATATTTATTACTTTATTATTTAGTTTTTTATTTGTTTTAATTATTTATTAGATATTTTGTTATTTACTTACCTTGATTTATTTTATCATAAGCGAAGTTTCTTTTGTTTAATATAGATAAAAGAAAAAAATGTCAAAATTATAATTTTATTTTTTATAATAATCATTATATATCTATAATACAATTATCTATAATAAGAACTTATCATTTATTATTTTGAAATTTTATTTATTCATTTCCTTTTTTATAATTTATGTTGTTTTTTTAATGAAATTTTTTATAACTGCGTTCTTTATTTAATTTAAAACATTTTTTGTTCGATTTTTTAGTTTTTGCAATATTTATTATAAATATTTTTTTAAATATATTTTTTATAAATATTTTATAAATATTTTTGATTATAAAAATCAAGAAAATTATAAATATCTAATTCTTTATTTCTATGAATTGTAATCAATCTCAGTTTTCTCATATTTTATTAAATTTGATTCTTCAGAAAATATTTAAAAAAAAAATAAAAAAATATTTTAAATTATTGAAAAAATAATGTAACATTGCATAATAATTGCATAATATATTTTTATTCGTTATTGAATCTATACAATATTAAAATATTTTATACTTTCATATCAGTATTTGTTTTGTAAAATTATAAAATAAAATTTAAAAGTATTTTTTAGATATATTTTACTCTTATATGTTTAAAAACATATAATATTTTTTTATTAATAAATTATATTCTAATTATTATAAAAGATAAATATTTCTAAATTTAATGAAATATTCTGCTATTTTTTTTATGTTTTTTTCTTTATTTATGTTATGTTATTAAAAATATATGTATGAAATTTAAAAATTAATTAAAACTTTAAAATTTTATATTGTATTTTTTTGATTTTTTATATTTATATTTTATTATTATTATTATTATTATTTTATATTTATAATTTATATTTTATTTGTGCTTTATTTATTTTGAATAAAATTCAAATGTAATTTTTTATTTTATGTAAATAATGTATAAGAAACAGATCTTTCTTTTTTTTATTTATAGAAGAGATGTGTACTATGATTCTATTGTTACATAAAAGATCTTAATGAATCATGATAGACAAAAAAATAGTATTTTTTTTTTATTTTGATTTTGATTGAATTATTCAATTTCATTTCATAATCATTTATGATATAAAAAATGTAATATATGATACATATAATTATTGAATTATATATTTGTTAAAATATTTTTATTGATTCAAAGATTTTTCTTGCTTTGTAAATATTATTAAATATTTAAATATAATGTAGAAAACAAATGAAAAAAATATATGAAATAATCTTGCAAGAATATATAAGAATGTATTTTTTAATATATTTAATTGCATTATATTATTTTTTATAGATATGATCAGTAGATTAAAAGAAAAGTAACTATTATTTCATTATCTTATTAATATTTATATATATTAATTATGACATTTTAAAAATTGCACTTAATTTTAATCTTTATAAACAAAGAGTGAAATAATGCATGTATATAATATATTACGTTTATATCAAAAAGCTCAAAATGTTTAAAATTTTTTCAACATTACTACCTTATATATGATTTAAAATATTCAAAATATTAGGACATTGAATAATGATTATAAATATTCTTCAAAGTAACAAAATAGATATTATGATCTATATATAATTTATATAATGTGTACTTTGTTTTCTTACATAATTTTCATGATGAACGCATCATATAATTGATATGATATATATTATATAATATATAATATATAATAAAAAATTAATATTTTTATAAGTAAAATTAATATTTTTATATAGTTATTTTGTATTTTATTTCTCTTTGTTTTTAAAAATACTTAGACAAATCATTTTAATAATTAGAAATATTTTTTATTTTTTATAGATTAACATAATTATGAACAAGCATCGGAATAAGTAAAAAAATTTCCGAATAAAATACAGTCCTTTCATTGGTATGATCTATCTCTTCGCGCTCGCCCTTTTTACGCGTTGACGCGCTACAAAACTACAGTCCAGTTCGGTTTGATTCGACTCTTCTCGGTTCGATTCGGGCCGACTTTGAGTCACAACGACTGCGGAGCTATCGACCGTTCTAGGTTTAGCAAGATAATAATAATTCGGATGGAATGTATTCAGCGGGAATGGAATGAATTCTTGTATATACTTTATACTTTATATATATACTTTATACTTTATAACCTGCTGTATTGATATTATTAGTTTTAATATTAACTGGAATATCGTATATTCTAAAAGAGTACATTTTTAATCATTTTTGGTAACATTTTATTTGTTAGTAGATTTTATATATTTTATAACTCTTGTTCATATTTATGTTAATGAAGATCAATAATATCGAAAATATTAATGCATTTTTTTTTAATTTTCCTTTTTATATTTGTAAAGATTTAAATTATTGAAAAGTTTTTCATAAATAATTTGACTTGACTATATTTTTTTTCAAATTATATCTTGAATAAAACTTCGTGTATGAATTTCATGAATAAAAAATTACAATTTTATATATGGGTTTTTTTTTTATTTTTATATATGTATCATAGAAATCAATTTTATAATATATATACATCCGCAATGCATTCAATGTTAATTACGATAAAATTATTTACATATGTTCATGTAATCGGAAAAAACAGGGATCAACGTATTTCTTATTATCTATATAAGTTCGAATTTAATATAAATTTCACTAGTTTTGACGTATAAAAATACCTTATAAAAAAATCATTATTTAAATATATATAATATACATGTACAAGAAATATTTTTATTAGATTTATTTTATATATTCTTAAAATTTTTGTACACACGCACATACAAGTTAAATAAAATACGGATTAATTTTTTATATTAAAAGAGATTCGTTTCAATTATCATTTCAAAAGTTAGCATGATAACTATTTAATTATTTCTATTGTCTTTTTTTATTTTTTATAATATATTTTGTATAATGCATTTTAGAATTTGTTTATATTTTCTGACTATATGTGAAAATTATAAAATTTTGTAAATAGTATAAATTTTATCAAAATCAAAATATCATATTCTTTTTTTGTAAGTAGTTTTTTTACAGTATTCTTTAAATTATACACAAATTATTATACATTTATTTGAAACTTAAAAAAAATTATATTTTGTTTATTGAAATTTTATTTTATTTTAGAAATTGTTTTAATCATATTGAAATTAAATCATTTTTGATATTTTAACAGATTATGTTAAATGATAAATGTACATATTCGTATGATGAATAATATTTTAATCTCTTTCAATTATTATTTTCATTATCATTTTATTATTTATTTAATTCGTTTATTTATGAGATTGTTATCATTATATCTCGTTACGAAAGCGTTTTGATGTAACTTATTTATGTTTATCCATCTTTTTGGCCGAACATTACTCTTTCGCAATCTTTTAGAAGTCAAGACTTATAAATGCGCTTCATAAAACATAACTATATCTTTACTTTGCAAGGTAAAAGACCTCTATTCTTACTTTAGATCTATAGAAAGTTTAAACATATTAAAGATATTATTTAATAATGTGAATAAAAATTTTGCATTATTTGTTATTATTATTTAATGAGATAATTATTTACTTTCTACATGAATATGTTTTATATCCCTTATATAAATTTTTGTGTAAATGTTCAGAAATTATTGTAGTTACTATGAAGATCGATCATTTCTACTTTACACAATTTGATTTTAAATGCTTTAATATATTTAATAATGTATGCGAAGAAAATTTTGTATACATTTAATTTTTATTTTGAATAAAAATTATGTATATTTGTTTTATAGCACAACTATAAACTAGTCATATATATTATAGTCATATTATAGTCATATATTATATAATATATTAGTCATTAAATTAAACATTAATAACTAATTAAAATAACTAACTGGTATTGTTAAATAACTAGTAATTAAATACTATTATTTAATAAACTTATAAATGTCAATTGTATTGTTAAATGCAATTGTTAAATGCAATAATTAATATATGAATACACATATGGTTTTAATTATATGAAAAAAAACATAATAAGTTAATACTTTTAGACTTTCGAAAATTATTATATAGAGAAAATATCTGTTATATTGTATTTAGATAATATTTTTCTCTACGAGTAAGAATATATATAGATCCTTAATTTTTTTTTTATTTTAAAGTTAGAAGTACTGAATATTTTAAAAATTTTATAAACATTTTAAAAAATAATTATAAAAATAATAAAATGAGTAAAATAATATAAAAAAAATACATTCTTTTATGGAATTGTAAAATATTTAATATTTATCAATTTTAATTTTCATTATTCATATCAACATTAAATAATGACTCTGCACTTATTTATATAAATTGCAAATAAATATTAATATTACTAAAATTAAAAAGATTTATTATATATTAATTTAAAAGTGTTATTATTATATTAATAAAAATATATAACAAATCATGTTTAAGTATTATACTAATATAATTTAAAAAATAGTAAATAAATAATAAATTTTAAATGATTAATAATTAATTCAAAATTATTGGCATAATTCTGACATTGATATCAAATTGTATTGATAACAATATTTTTTTTATTAAATAACATAAAAAAATAAAATATATAATAAATATTATTATTTTTTTTTTACAGGAATACTGCCGGGACTATTGCCGTTGCTGCCATTATCACTACACAAAGATATAAGAAGAATGATGTCCAAAGATAAAATGCTTCGATAGATGAAGTAATTTGCACAACAATATAAAAAAATTAGGAGAAAACGGAATTATTAATTTCAAATATGTATTAGAAAGCTTATATTAAAAAACGAATGGAAACGAAACGAAATAAATTTATAAAAGAAGCAGAAGAAGACTAATGATAGTGAAAGAAACAATAGAATGAAATAAACTTTAAGAAGAAAAGAATATTGATTTGGATATTTTTCGCACGACCAGTTTTGTGATGATTCGCAAATGTGCGTATGTGTGTACGTGATTGTGTATACGTTAAAACTGTGCGCGTATGTTTCTCGTTCTGCCATCTTGAAAGTCATCCAATTTCTTTCTCTTGGTGGCGCTGGCTCACGTGTGCGGGAAGCGTGCACGGTGCGTGCATCGTACACGCACTGTGCTAGGTTGCTATAAGCGAAGAAATCACGCTTCGAGAATAACTGCAAAATAAAGATTTGTCGATAGCATACAATAAAATTGCGCGATGAAAGCGAGTTTTTCAATAAATTTATTTCTTTGTGGGAGTGATAACGAGTGTCCTAACAATATTAATAGTGAAAGCAGTATCAGTAGCAACAACAATCTCGGCAACAGTACACATGACATTAGTAGCAGTAAGAAAAACGGATATGATAATGGTTTTAACGGCAACAAGAAATCACAAGTGGAATATAATGTGCAAGTTAAGTGTAAGCCATATGGCAATGATGAGCAGTTGCATTTCTGTGAGGTGTACTCGTACTGATTGTGAGTGCTAGTAGAGAAAGAGAAAGCGGGAGACAGAGAGATAGAAGCCACCAAGACTCTCGTGGAGAGCGGGGCACTGAAAGATATGCGGACCTTTGTGCGAACAGCTGAAGCGGAAGTTGTGAGAACAAGTGGAGTGCAACGCGCTCCACCTAATCGGTGATAGGGTCAGTCGGTTAAAAGAAGACAAAATTGGCGTTCGCAGCGACGGCAACGCGGCATCTTTCGCGATCACCTTTTCCTCATCCCTTCCTTTTTCCTACTTCATTTTGTTTCACTTCGTTTCCTCTCTCTTTTTCTCAAACTCTGACGCAACTCATTCGTTTATTTTACATATTTTTCTTCTCTTGGTTATCGATAGAGAAAAAAAAATCTCGTCTTTTATTTCGATTGAAACTTTTGTATAATGATTCATCGTATAGAAGCCGCGTCGCGTTTCCTTACAATAATAAAGGTATACTTTCCTAAATACATGTATTGAGACAATTGGTGCTTAAATCATGAAATTTGTTCCTTCGATATGTGTATCGTCTGTGTAAATTGTAGTTACATTTGTATAATTAAATTTATAGCATGCTTTTAAGTTTGAACAATGATTGTGAGAATATAAATATACTTGAAATATTTAAAAAAATAGAAAATATACTTCGAGAAAAAATTTGTGAGAAAAATTTATTCAAACTTCTAGCCATATTTTATGCATGGAATAAATTTAATCCGATATACAGTTTCATTAGAAGTTTTACTTTGAACTTTATGTGATTTTGATAATCAAAATTCTCCTTTTTTATGTTCTTAGGATTGTAACAAAAATTATACACAGAAATTAATCGCGTATATTTTTACACGCGTAAAATGTAACTCCTTATATATTATCCACATTCAGTTCCGCGGGAAGATTTAAATATCAGATACTAATTTTAAATTTCTCCGACTGTTATCTATAGAAATCGTCGCTGGAGCAACAGCGGAAGAAAGAAATTTGAAAAATCGGTTAGATTATGTTCCAAGTGTATAATATCGAGTGATATGGAACGCATGAAAGTGTACGTAAGCTAGCAAAAAGATAAAAACGACGAAAGAATAAGAGGGAAGAGCAAGAAACAAACATAACACGCAACAACGAAGAAACGAACAGAAGACAGTAGTAGTGTAAAGAAGACAGAGATGATAAAGAAAAAAAAAGTCTACGAAGGGAATAGCTTGTGAGAAGAAAAGCAAAAGTTTGCGCGACGTACAGTATAATGTGGAGTAGCGTGTTTCGCGAAAGTTTTTAAAAGTCGATATAGAATTTATAAATAGATCGGTTGGTATACTCACATATGTGCACGCGTACGCATGTGTGCGTGATTACGCGCGCACATGTACGTGATTTTCACTCGAGACTGAAGCGGTGAATTATTCTCGCACGGATCGACTACTCGTGGGGGAAATTCGAGATCCGGCTTACCTTCCACAGCTGACGTCATTACCGGTAAGTTGTTTTTCCGTTACTAGACTTATACCTTTGTGATTTTAAAAATGTTACTGTAATCTCTTTGCCTCTTATTTTCTATTTTGTTACTTTTTTCTTAAGAATGAATAATAATTAGTTTTTTATAAGAAGTTTTCCTTTCAATGTTTAATTCAAAATTAAGAGTATCTATTTATTATAGGATTTTTAATATTTATTTATATAAAAAATAAAACATATTATCATGTTTCAATTTAAAAAATTTCACTTAAGTATTGAAAGTATCAAAAGAATTATATTTTTTGTTAAAATAATATTTAATATTGATTATTGACAGTTTACTATAGTAATAGAATTAAATATATATCACATATTATTAAAAATATAATGCATTTCTGATTATTTCCATTAATTGTTATTTCATGTAAAATCTTTTAAAAAAAAGATTGTATCTTTGAAAGTAATATGATTTTTGTTTTAATAATATTATTGTATATTTAATGAAAATAGTTGTTTCATAGGAGGATTGACTTATTACTTTTGACTTATCGACTACTTTATTGACTTATTAAAGTTAAAACCAATGAAACATGAATTATAAATACAAAATCTAGGTTAGAATTATTTTCAAAATTTAATATGTACAATTTAGACATATCTTGATTAATGATATATCATAGTGCAAAAATTTTAAATTAACAGAATTGAAACTAAGAAACTATATATGAAGGCAAATATATTCTTCTAATATTGTACATACAAACACGTTTCACGTCGCGTTGATTTTCTATGTCTTCTCGTTAACGCTGCGTAGATTACCGATGACCCACGTTGATGATCTTATTATGCAGCATGCGTTTATGTTAGAAGCACGTACTTCATAATGTTCATGGAACTATGAACATAGTTATCATCGCAAAGAAGCAATAGGAATAATGACAAATCATAGGATACTGAAATCAAAATTATTTCGTTTGATTTTGACTTTTATTAATGACCATATGTGATAATCTTTCTTTTGCAATATTTTTTAAAATTTTAATATTTAAATCAGAATATATATATATATATATATATATATATATATTATTA